GAGGCTTAGAAATGGAATATCCAGGAGGTAAAAAGCAACGTTTTCGACACCTTCTCTTCTTTGCTTTTCATCGAGGCCAAAAAGCTGCCAAAGCAGTCCAGAACATTTGCAACGTATTCGGAGAAGGTGTCATAGGAGAGTCTATACAACATGGAAATGGTTTGCGAAGTTCAAAAATGGCGATTTTGACGTCGACGACACAACCCGCAGCGGAAGACCTTCTGAATTCGACGAAGAGCGTCTCGAAGCACTTTTGAAGGAGGACGGTCACCAAACAAGTCGTGAATTGGCCGAAAGAATGAACTGCGATCATAAAACGATTCTCAATCGTCTTCATTCAATGGGATTTGCCGAAAAATTGGGAGCCTGGGTTAAATTCGAATTCAGAAGGTCTTCCGTTGCGGGACGTGTCGTCGACGTCAAAATCGCCATTTTTGAACTTCGCAAACCATTTCCGTGCTGTAGACTCGCCTATGACTCCTTCAAATACGTTGCAAATGTCCCGGGCTGCTTCGGCAGCTTTTTGGCCTCGATGAAAAGCGAAGAAGAGAAGGTGTCGAAAATGTTTACCTCCTAGATATTTCATTTCTAAGCCTCGAAAGTAATAAAACATTAAATTACTCAAAAAGACGATTAGCACAGTTTTGTGGAGCAGAAAATCGTTGTAAAATAAAATAAAATATAAAAACGCTACGAACTTATTCCCCAACCCAATATTTTCGAAAACTCGAGGAAATTTCGCGAGCGAAACCGAACGCGTCGGACGCGAGAAATTCTTCAATCTCTCTCTCTCTCTCTCTCTCTCTCTCTCTCTAGCCCTCTCTCTCTCTCTAGCCCTCTCTCTCTCTCTAGCCCTCTCTCTCTCTCTCTCTAGCCCTCTCTCTCTCTCTCTCTCTCTCTCTCTCTCTCGATTTAAGCAAATGTCGATAAGTATCGCGAGACCGGTGTGCCATTACACCCTCATTATCATTTCCACGAAACCGACGATCAAAATTGAAATTCAAATCGAGATCATTATAAAATAAAAAGCTCGTGAAATAAAAAAATAAAACTCGTCGATCGATACAGATTGCACAAAGCGGTAGAAGAATTGGAGTCTATCGAACGAGTTCTGTCTATGAAACAAGCGCAACTCGCCGAGTTGGAGGAGAAGATCGCGCTGTTGCAGATCGAATACGACACGTCTATCAAGAATTTGAACAAACTGGAAGCAGAGATGACGCTCGCGGAAGCCAGACTGAACCGATCGGGCAGACTAACGTCCGCGCTAGCAGATGAACGAATACGATGGGAGAAAATGACAAAAGTTCGATCTCTTTCTCCTAAGTAACGTTTAGCTGCTCGGGATCTCGGAACAAACTGAACGTTTCGTCTCTGCATGGACTCTGTTAGGGGTTTGACGATCAAATGATCAATCTAACGGGCGACACGCTGGTTGCTGCCGGGGCTCTCGCCTATCTTGGTGCCTTCACCAACGAATATAGGGAGGAATTGATGCAAATTTGGTTAAACAGCTGTAAAAACCATGACATCAAGACCACCGAGAACTACAGCCTCGTCGCGATATTAGCCGACCCTTATCAAATCCGTCTTTGGAACACGCATGGGTTACCAAGAGACAAGGTCAGCACGGAGAACGGGATTTTCGTTACGCAGTCGAACCGTTGGCCTCTGATGATCGATCCCCAAGAACAGGTGCTGTCTTTTATTTACCTCGTCCAACGCTCATCTGAAAATTACGCTCGCGTTTCGTCGCGTAGGCGAACAGGTGGATACGAAGCATGGAGCAAAATAATAATCTGAAGATATGCAAATTGACGGATGCGAATTTCACGAGGATACTCGAATCGTCCATTCGACTGGGAATGCCCGTGCTGCTTCAGGAAGTGGGAGAAGTGCTGGATCCTAGTTTAGAACCGGTGTTGCTCAAACAGATCTTTATGCAGGTACTTGATCGATGTTACGTGCCTAAAATCAAAGGGAGAGGCTCAAGGGTAATTATTGTTAAAAGAAACGTGCGATAACACGAGTCTCTTTTAGGGTGGCAGGTTGTTGATACGATTCGGCGATTCCGACATCGACTACGATACACAGTTTCGACTGTACATCACAACGAAAATCGCTAATCCCCACTATTTGCCAGAAGTCTGCATCAAAGTGACCGTGGTGAACTTCACCGTAACCACGGGAGGCCTCGAAGAGCAACTACTGGCGTAATTACGCGCAATTTGTATTTTCTGTTATCTGATGTTAACACGCATAATGATAATATTGGGTTGGCAACTAAGTAATCGCCGATTTCAGTTATAGATGTCTCTCACTCCCATTTTTATGATATCCGTAAATGTTATATTATAAAATTATTATTATTATTATTATGTTATTTTTTATTATCCGTGAATGTTAGCAACCGGACAAATTGAATGCAGCGGTCAAGGAAAAGCGACCAGAATTGGTCGATCGTAAAGGTGTCATTTTCCAGCAGGACGATGTTAGACCGCATTGACTTAGCTATTTCTTTTCAACCAAAATATAATTTTATTCCCCTGCTATCAAAATTTAATTACTTCCCTTTTATATAATATTGCATTCTCTTGTAGCTAATATTTAATCATTTTGATTCAACCGAAATAAAATTCTGTTAGCTTGCTATTAATATTTAATAATTTCTTTTCGAATTCGTTTAATACTATTAATACTTAATTATTCCTTTTTAACCGAAATACAATTTTATTCACCTGCTACTAATATTTCATCATTCCATTTTCATGATATCCGTAAATGTTATATTATAAAATTATTATTATTA